CAACATGCCCCATCGCCCCACGGCACCCCCCACCCCCCGGCTGGGGCTGGCCCAGCCAAGCCTGCCCACAAGTCCACGCGAGCACGGTGCGCAGGATGGCACCGCACTGCTGGGCAAGGCCCTGGGTGCAGAGCATGGTGCAAACCCACCACAGCCCCTGGCAAGAAGGCTCTGGGAGAAACCCCGCTATAGAGTGGGCAGTGAGACAGCATAGCCACCTCAGTCCTGAAATGTGTGGCAGACCATGGGACACAGCTGGGTAGATCGTGCTCTGACCAGGAGAGGCACATGACCATATAATATAGCAAAGTATAGAGAAACCCTATGCTACAAAAGCCTTCAGAGATATAGGGGAGCCACACATGGTTACCAACAGAGCAGTAGACGCTGACTGGTGTCTCTGTGTGCACAGGTCCACATGTGCCCGAGGGAGCCGAGCTCTTCTACGTGAAGCTGCACAGCACTCTGACCATGTCCTGCAGCTTCGGGACAGAGTATGAGAGCATCAGGAAATTCTTGTGCAAGATGGATAAAAGCGGCTGCCATAACATCGTCGATACTTATGGGAATGTTGATGAGGGTTACACAGGGCGAGTTCTGCTGAGCAGTGAGGAGCTTCCAGGTTCATTCAGCGTCACGATAACCCAGATGGACTGGGAAGACTCCGGCTTGTACCTGTGCGGTGCCGGCGTCTATGGGGAGAGCGGAGAAACAAAGGAACTGGACGTGCATGTCTATGAGGGTAAGCTATTCCCAGTGGTTTTTCCCTTCATCTCTGCTTCTCTTTAGAAGCATCTCTAGCGGTCTCACTATCTAACAAGCACTTTCATCTCCCTTTGCAGAGTGCTATTAGCCTATCCTCTCATCTAGTTATTTCTTCTATTCATTTAGCTATCTCTAACATACTAAACCATCACTAATAAAGCCTGTATCAAGCCTTAACTTTCTGAGCAGTGACTATCTTCCCCAGTCTGGCTAGCCCAAAATTCCAGAAGGCAAATTCTCCCTACCAGTTTGAGACAAGGAAACTGTCTCTTCAAGTCTTAATTCCTTAAATCTCAAGATGACAGATATAGAAGGGAAAAGACTTGTCCTTCCCCTAGCAAAGGGAGCAAGATTTCAGAATGTTGCTACAGAAAGACAACAACCACTTGGTGAACTTGGGAAAAAGAAAGGCCTGACAGACCCTTTTGGAGCAATTCCTATCAGTGCCAGGGCAGCCTCCTGCCATCTGCGCCCCTGAGCTTCGCCTAGCCTTCTTTTACCCAAAACAGCTTTGTTTGATCTGAGAATATTTATTCTCTTGTGACATTGCCACATAGGCAAAAGTTAGACACATATAGCTGCTTATTTCATTTTTATCTCTAGAGACGAAAATTCCTCAAGGAACTCCCACAATAACTGGAGTAAAAGGAAGCTCAGCCACTTTTCAATGCCACTATAAGCCTCTAAGATCAGCCTCAGTGAAGTACTGGTGCAAGTGGAGAACGAATGGGTGTGCTCGGATCATAGACAGCTCTGGGTTTGTGCTGGCCTCGTACGAAGGCAGAGTGGCCCTGTACGACAGCCCGGTGAACCAAACGCTCACCATCGTCCTGAACCAGCTGAGCGACAGTGACAAAGGCTACTACTGGTGCATGACAGATGAGGAGAAGGAGCAGCAGTCGTCAACTGAGCTGAAGATCATAGACGGTACGAGCTCACGCGTTGGCAGTTCTCTGCCTATTGAGTAGGTACAAAACAATCACCTAAGAACCACAAAGGAGCAGATCTGGCTTTCTGAGATGAGATGCGAGCTCCAACTCTGAATTTTTATCTCATAAAAGGCAAATCATTGTGCCAATCCCCCCATCCCATTAGCTTTAAAATGGAAACACAAGGTTTTAGTTTTATGGGAAAGTGTTCAAAAAAGTTTCTCATGCAAGTATTTCTCAAACCTTGCAAAAAAAACCCCAGCTTTCACCCAGAGATGCATCTACAGCATCCTTAACATTAATTTAGCAGTGTAAGGAACACTTTCCCTCAAAGACACGTCTCCTTGTTCACCTTCTCTAGCAGCACCACTGCCTGTTGCTGACTACAGTTCCCACCACTGAGACCACTAACACCAGCCTTGATGTTCTGTTTGCCCTCACAGGAGAACCAGGGCTGACAGGAAAGAAGGAAGTGGAGGCACAAGTGGGTTCGCAGGTCAATTTGGCTTGCTCTTATCCATGCAAGTACTACTCCTACCAGAAATACTGGTGCAAGTGGAGCAGCACCGGCTGCAGCCCCATGTCTGCTTCGGACCAAAGGCAGCCGGGGTCGAATGTCACCTGTAACACTGACAACAAGACAGTCATCCTCAGCTTCGACTCGGTGGAAAAGACAGACCAAGGGTGGTACTGGTGTGGAGTGAAGCGCAACGGCCGCTTCGGGGAAACCATGGCCGTGTACCTGCAGGTGACCGGAGGTGAGCTCCAGGGCGAAGGTGGGCAGGGGCTTTACTGCTCCTCAAAGCTGTGGACCATGCTGTCTTCTGCCGAGAGGAACGTCCTCGCCATAGCCACTAGGTTGCAGCACCTCAAAGCAGAAGTGCTCCCATCCAGCAGCCTCCCAGACCAGGTGCCAAGATCACCGCGATTTTGCACATCTTGTCACAGATGTTTTCAACCCCTCACTGGTTTCTGCTTCCCAGTCATAAAATCCCCACCAGTCTAAAAATCACTTCCTTCCACACCATTTTTACTTTTTAACCCTGTCCTTTCTAATTATTGCTGTTACAATTCGTAGTATCACTTAGTTTAAGTCACTTCTGACACCTGCCAGGTGAAGGACAGCGTGTAAGCCAGAGCTGCATCGTGCTCCGGGGAGCTGATTGTCTTAAGCAGGAAAACAGTAGGGAGTGGGAAAGGACAGGCTATCCCCCACTCACTTGGGCAGCGAGTGAGTGAAGTCTCAACTTTGGTGCAGAGTTTTGGAATGAAGATATTTTTCGCAGTAAGGAATATTATTAGAAGCAGAGCAAAGAAAAAGTTTAGCACTAGATAGCTCACAGGCAATTATCTTAAGTGGATGATGGTAAGAGTGAAAACAGTTAGCGAGAAACAGCCTCATTTCTCTGTCTTAGGTGAGCAAAGAGCTAGGAATAAAAGCAAACCAAGCATTCAAAATTTGTTCTGGAAATACTAGAGGCAGAACTTACAAATGCAAGACTTTAGAAAAAGTGTATAGTCAGAGAGTCTACTTGAGATTTTTTGCAATAAATTAGTTGGAACAAGGTTATTTCAGACCTCTAAACCCCATTTTAAGGAGCCTCTCATGTACAGCCAAAGCCTACTGCAGTTCCGCATGCACCAAATACGCCCAGCTCGTTTCTGTGCCACCATCTCTGTGCTCTCTGCCTGCCACTAACCACCCTCCTTCCCTGGGACACGCAGGAAGCAGTGCCAGCCGCAGCCTCGACCTCCTGAACGCCGAGCCACCCACCAACATCAAGCCCCCCAGCCACACCGAGGGTGACAGCGTTCCCAAAGCAAGAGCCAACATTAAAGATGGGGTGCAAAGCGTGGCTGCCTCAGAAAGGTTAGTTCTCTCCAAGCCTCTGTCACATCTTATTTTTGTGAAGGTTATGTTAAGCCACTGTTGGTACGGTGTTTGCACACTACATGCATGGTTTGGCAACAAGAAAAAATCTCATCCAACTTAGCTCAAAATATCAGAGGAAAAGCAGCAAGAAAGTTGCAGCAAAAGGCAAAAGGTCTTGAAATTAGTCTCTAGCCCAAGTACAAAAACACAGTCCCTGAAGGGAACAATTAGAAATTTCAGGTACGGAAAAACTAATTGAAAATTCTTCTGCCAAGATTAGAGAGCCTTCCTTCACACATTTATGACTAAGCTGCTGATGTAGCTGTTTTGGTACAACCTCTCCTACAGTTTTGTTTACCCCACCATGTGCTCGAATCCAGTTCGTCAATTGAATTGCATCATGCTTGCTCAGATTTACCATCCTATATAGATTTTAGGCCGCTGGACATTCATATACCTTAGTCAGTCTTGAATAATTAAAAAAAATAAATATATGCATTTCACAGCCTAGTGATATCTTTCCCTCCATTCCAGCTCTGATCAAAGCCGAGGCCCCAGTACGCTTGTTACAACCCTGAGCTCTGCTGGTGCCGTGCTCCTGATCCTCGTGACAGCTTTCACCGTGTTCAAGTACAGGCAGCTGAAGAGGTCTGGTGAGTCCCTACCTTTTCTGTTCTCTCAGATGTCAGCAATGTTAAGACAAACGCGATACCTGGTGCAAGCTCCCATCTCTGCTGGGCTGAGTTACCCCCCGGTCCCCCCCATGCTCCAAGGGACCCAGCCTCTGCCACTGACCCCATCTGTCAGCTCCAACACCCTGGCTGAGACAGAGACCACCCTGCCACGGGCTTTGTCCCTTACATTGCATCATCTCTCCTTGCACAGAGGTGGTTTGGAGGCTGATGCGCTTGCACCGACTCTGAGCAAGCACACAGGGTATTTATCTCCTCCCTCTTAACAGACCTGGTGTCCGTCGGGAGCTACAGGACGAACATCAGCATGTCAGACTTCGAAAGCGTGAAGGAGTACAGCGCAAGCAATAGCACCTACGTGAAAGAGAACCAGGAGACTCAGATAGGAGGGGACGGTAGGTTGCTGACTGGGGGGCTTGGTCTCCATCCCTAGGGCAAGGGGTGCCAGGGAGGAGTTTGTGGAGGGACCTTACAAAAGCCAGAGCTTGCCCACCCGTGGCCCCAGCGCCCCAACACCTCCCCTTCTCTCCCTGCAGAATTCTTCACCACTGCGGCCACCCTGGAAAGCGCTGCCGAGACAAAGAAAGCAAAAAGGGTAAGACGAGGCAGGAGAGAAAACACTGACCTGGGAGACGCTGCCACAGCCCTCCAGCTTCTGCCAAAGGAGCTGCCTTCTCCCAGGGGCCTTATTTATAGCCAGGTGCTCTCCATCTTACCTGGGTGCAGCCACCTGCTGCAGATCAGCCTCCATGGGGGGACCTTAACCCTTTCCTGACCCCAGGTTTGAGCAGAGACAATAGTACGGCACACTAAGCCCCAGGTAGCATCAGAAAGGTCGGAGCTGGATTGTGACCATAAACATAAAACCCTGGGATCAGCAGATGGCCAGAGCACGTCCCACCTTCCAGCCTCTGCCCAACACTGTACTCCCTTGCAGGCAGCAGCTCAGGGGGCAGAGGTAGACAGGGAGGTCTCTGCCATTGCAAGGGCTGTAACTTGCTCCTGTGGCCCTGGAAAGCCCCTGCCTCCCCCCTGCCTCTCCTCCCCTTGGGTAAGATCATGGTTGAGTGGCACCACTCAGCAGTGACCCAAGGTGCCAGATTTCCCTTCTTTTAAAAAGTCCCTAATCAAAGGTGCTATGTAGGTGTTGTAAGTGCCAAGAGCTGAACCAGAGTAATAAAGGAAACTGTCAGGAACCCAGTAACACCAGCAGCTTTGGGACAGGTCAGCTGGCTGCCGACATGTGGGGACAGGCATGTTGCAGAGTCCCAGACACACAAATGTCTGGGGTCTTCCCCGAGGCTGAGAAAATGGGTGATGCTCTCACACTGGCACCAGCATGGCCTGCCGGATTGTCCTCATAGAATCATTTAGGTTGGAGGAGACCATCAAGATCACCGAGTCCAACCACTAACCTAACACTGTCAATTCCACCACTAAACCAGGTTGCCAAGCTCCCCATCATCCCGTGTTAATGCTGTCCTTCCCCCTGCCACGCACCGCTGTCTGTCCCTGGCCACCTGACAGTGTCCTCCTGTCCTTCCCCAGAGCTCCAAGGAGGATGCTGACCTCGCCTACTCCGCCTTCCTCCTCACCTCCAGCAGCATCGCGCAGGGCGGCTCCGAGGGGGACAGCGCTGCCCCCGACATGTCCCCCCCGAACTGGGAGGGCCAGGCCTGAAGGCGAGGGACCGAGAGGCGGCAGCCATTGGGACCAGCTCTACCTTGAGCATCAGAGCAAGACGTCAGCAAGCAGCACTGTTCATTGCTACCACGATTTTCTATAGCTTGAGCTTTTTTTGCTTAAATTCAGCTTCGAGTGCTGATTTAGGAGAAAACGTTTGATGTCAAACGGGGCGACTGGGCTGGAGACGCAGGTCTGTGCAATCAGGTTGGGCTGGGAGCTGGCAGGAGCTCAGCCCACCCCCAGCCCAGCCCCACCAGTGCCCTCCCAACACGGTGGGCTCTCAAAGGCCAGAAGGCGCATTTTTTAAAATATCATTTTCTCTTAAAGGCAGCTGGAAAACCCTCTAGAGCAATGACTCACGCTTTTGATTCCTCTTCACTTTCTCACCCAGAGGGCAGTACCTGCAGACCAGACATGGTCTGAAGTGTTTCTATGCACAAGCAATAAAAAATACCACTGGCTTTCAGCAGACTGGGAGGACTCGCAGTCCGTGGGAGGGTGTGGGGAGAGCACACCCAAAGAGGCACAGCAAGGGTCCATTGCAGGGGGGGCTTTTTGCTTTTACTGCAGCATTACAGCGTCACGTCTGGTGTTGGAAACAGCGCTGGACAGTAGAAGAAACCCACAAGTAATGAAGAGAAAGAGAAAATGCTTTGAGTTTCTCATGTGCATTTTCATCAACAATTGATCACAGCGTGACATTAATTAGTATGACACCCTCTCAGCAGCCTGTGTAGCTGATTAGGCAATAGGCACCAGCGTTCGCTGGCACTGTATCCATCTGCACGGTACAGACCAAACTCCCCAGCGCAGCTGAACCAACAGCCTCGCATTTCTGACTTGGAGTCGGCACAGCTGAGCCCACCCGTGCTCCTCTGCCCTGGAGCCACCCTGCTGAGGTGGCCTCAAAACCCACCCTTCACTTAATAGACCTGAGCCACACATCACTCACAGGGTTTCCCTGGCTGACTTCATGTTCATCCAGGCAGAAACGAGGATGACTATAATTAAAAATTGTCTCTTGGTCTTATTTTCAAGAGAGGATGACTAAACAGAGGAAAGTCGTTTATTGATGCACGGATTTCCAAAGAGCAGCACGACACTGCTGTCTGTCAGTTAGGTGTGGGTACAGAAAGCTGAACACCCCGCAGATAAAGCAGTGCAGGAACCAGTGATGATGAAGAAGTTGCGACAAAGCAGGGAAGCAATTTTGCCTGAGCACCAGGAACGGGATGGGCTGTGACCGCCTGGCGAAGAGCGGGGCCGCGGAGGTGTCTGGCAGGGCCAGAGCTGCTCAGGAGAGAAGAAGCAGAAACTGCAATGACAAATTCGAATTCCTGAGCCTGTGTTGGTTACCTGCAGCTCTGATAGCAAGCCATAAAATACAAAGAATGAGTTGTGTTCCCCTAGCCAGGGTCTGCCCTGACGGCGCTAAGGTAATGCCACAAGTCTATTTCTGTTTCAGTAAAATATTAGCTGTGCTTTAAAATGCAAACAGAATGGTAGCTGAGCAAGGCGCCGGGCAATGGCTGTTGGTGTTAGCCTGCAGGCACTGAGATTTCAACAAGGATAAGCCCCAAATTATTCCAGAGTCATGGACCTCCCCACAAGAAGTGCTGAGATGAGCTCGGCTCGCTGTGAGTAGGAGGGCAGCAGCTCTGAGGTGTGGGTGCTTCCGCTCCCAGCCCTGCCTCTGTTCCCAGGGCTGCTCTCACATCCATGTTGCGATAGTCATCACCTTGCTGACAGCAGAGGACCTCGAGTGTCCTGTTATAGCTCACCTACCTCATCTCCACGGCTGCGTCCCCTCAGCAGCGTGGTGGGAAGGGGCTCGGATGGCGGAAAAGGTGCAGAGGGGCCAGGACAGGTCCGCACCCGCCCAGAGTTGCTGGAAGTGAGAGGATTCTTCTGGTGCAATAGGAGAGGCGTGCGCTTGGAAAGAGTCCCCGGGGGTGAGCAGTCATAAAGCTGCAGGAGAAAGCTAAGGTTTGGGAATTTCTGAGAGGAGAAAAACGCCTTTCACTCTCCCTTTGCAGATCTGCTTCCTCTTCAACCCGCCCGACGGCATCCCTTTCTCAGCCCTGCTCCTCCCACGCCACGATGGGCACAGCGAGCATGAGCTAACCTCCCGCGGGAGGTGCAGAGGGCCAGAAAGGCGGATGGGCTGAGCACCCTGCCAGCGGCTCTGCCTGCACCCCTCAGCCCCGGCAGCTGCCTGCTCCTTCCCACCGCTGGCACTTGCATTGGGCACCCCGTCTCCAAAGGGGCATGTCCCTGGGCTGCTGCCGCAGCTGGGAAAGTGGAAACTCATTTTGACATGAAAGCAGTAAAACATGCATGGATTGAGGCATGCAACCCTCCACACAGGGTACAAAATCAATGAAATCTGGTAAATAATAATAATTGTGACAGCGTAAGCCGAGGATGTGGAATAAAATGCCTACTTCTCACTCAAGCTGTGACCCAGAGCCCACCACAATCTGCAGACAGGGCCGCAGGGACCTCACCACGCAGCCCCATCTCCTTCACCGGAGGGTTCGCCAGACGTGCCGGCTGATTTCCTTCGGTCAGTGACGAGCGGTGGTATCTCCTTGCATCACCACTTCATTCCTAATGGTTTTTATTTAACAGAAAATCATGGTATGTGCAACACATGGCATTCTTCAGTGGTTGATTTCATGGGTGATGGTGCTGAAAGATCGGCTTACGCGAACACTGACGGAGTGTGGAGGGATGTATTCACCCGTTCATGCCCTGCCATCCCAACAAATGAAAGCTACACTGCAAAAACCCATGAGGAAGCAAATTAAGAGAATCAAAGCCCTGAGAAGCTTTCCTTAATTTCCAAATATTTGAGGAAGGATAGTGAGCAATCAAGGAAATCATTCCTTTAAAAGTGAATCACCAAATCCCGCTCGGAGTGAAGCATACACGTATGTGCTGTAGGCAAATGCTGGTGAGCTCACCCAGTCAGGTCACCAGCCAGGCCATTTTGGGAAGGGCATCCCTCCTCCTCCTCCTCTGCAGCTCTTCATTCTGTTCATGCCCGATGCAAGGCACAGCGCCCGCCAGACTGACACAGGGCTCTGGTGATCCCAGCATGCTGCTGGAGGTCTTCTGATGGGGATGAAACCAAAGCAGTAATAGCTCCTTCTCGAGCACGAGGGGCTTCTTCCATAATAGCAAAATCCTGTTAAAGACACTCTGCTGCAGCTAAGGCCTTGCCCGTGTCACCTCTGTCACATCATTAGAAATCGCCCAAGCTGGGATCAGCCAGCCCTCCATCCATCCCAGATGCTGAAACTTGCCTGTGACCGTGGGCAGGGAAAGGAGAGCTGGAGAGCGTTGGGCTGTCCCATGGGACCAGAGGGCTGAGAAGAGGTTTGTGCAAGCCTGAAGGATTCAGACTTAACAGCAACGACTTGACCCTAACAAGAATAAAAGCTGCCCAGAACCAGGGGAGAGCATGCAGCACGCTGGTTGTGCTCCTGGCACTGCAGCCTGCAGGAGTTTTGGTCCACCATGCCCAGCTTATTTGATCCCTAGAGCAAAATGCACGGTCAGAGATCTACCTTTAAGCCTTATGTCTAACGAATGCAGCAGTACGACTTTATCACTTGAAATATTAGGACTAGAGTGTTACCAGGGACATAAACGTCCAACTGCTTTCCAAGCAGCTTGTGCTATTAATCAGCATTTACCTGGGCCCTGACACCAGGAGTACATAACACCTCTTGGCTTGGAGAGATGATCTGGGTGGTCTTGGTTCATTTACTAACACATTAGTCCTCTGCCACTGTCAGATACTACAGCAATATGTGTACTAACACCTTGTGGGAAAGCACAGTGGAAAAGGGATGTGGAGCATGCAGAAGCAGTGGGTACCAGCAATGTGTGTGCAGTCACCGGCTGCTAAAAGAGCCCAAAAGAGGTGAAAATAGACCAGAGCTATAGGTTATGCACAGTGAAAATGGTCTCGTGGACCAGCTGGGGTGATTTAGTATCATTCAGGCCTAAACTTTGGTCTCTCTGGTATGCCAGGAACGATGCATCACCTCTGGGATGCTCGTGCTACCAACAGTGACATCTGCCATGAAAGGGCACCACACTGAACTCAGAAAGTTTCACCAACAAGAAACATATAATTCCTCAGAATTTTGAAGAACAGACTCAGCACAGTTTCAAGTGGGGTTTATTTACAGTAATTACAACAGATTTCCATAGAAGTTACTACTGAGTGTCAGTAAATTACACAATACAAGAACCTTTCTCTATTCAGCAACCCCATATCTTGCATAGAAAGTTTTCTTTTACTGAAAAGGCAGAAAATATCATCTGAAAAGGAAACACAGATTTCTAGGGCCTGACACACCTGCTAGGACCTGTTCTTGGAAGCATTTCTCACCCTGTACACCTTGTTTAAGGCAGATCAGTCAGTGGCGGCAGTCACGTAAGACTGAGCCCAAATTTATGAGCACTGCTCTGCAGCATGAACTATACCAGAGTAGTTCCAGCAGACACTCAGCACTCATGAATATGCGTTCCCTATATAAAAACTGTATAAATTAAGCAATACTTATATTAAATGATCACAGCTTATGTCTGCTAGCCAGAGAAACCCTTTTAGATTTTTCCCTTGGAGAGCATCGTTTGATAGAAGTCAGGTAAGCGAGTGCACACTGGTTCGATCAAACTCGATATTTCCATCTGAATGCAAGACGCTGCTGCTGCGCTCACCCCTGCACCGGCCCGCAGAACACCCAGTGTCTGGCTGAACGCAGCTGCAGCCACTGGGAAGCTGCACTGACACAGTACGGTGTTATCCCGCTCACCGCTGGTGTATGCAGCGTCCCAGCAGCTTTGGCCTTTGGTGGGTCGTTGAGGCCTTCTGCTCTCTAACGAGACTTCTCCATCCAGTCTAGCAGGATGTCCAGCTCACCCAGGGATTTCATTGCTGCAGATGTGACATTCAGCTGAAATGGTACAGACGAACA